CATCAAAATTAAACGAAATAAACATTTGAAATATGAGTTTGTATGTAATGTATGAATTTAATATTCAAGTTTCACTTTTTAAATGGAATTACTGAAATAAATCTACTTTTTCATGATATTCTAATTTTATGACCAGCACCTGTATATCGCTACTACAAAAAAAACTGCATAAAACTGCAAGAAATGGTTGGCCAAATGTTTGCCCTTTATGTGTTTTGTCAGTAGTCTGATAAACAAAATGGACCTGAGATACCACAACAAAGCATAACTGTCCAAGTGGTGTCAGGAGAGTCAAATAATTGCGAATTTATTTACTGTTGGGAACCCTGCAGAAGGGGAGCAGCCCAAAGAAAAACAACCAATCTGTGCATATATTTTTACCATCCATCCATCCATTAGCTATACCCGCTTATACCTTTAAGGGTCACTAGTGCCCATATCCAGCAGTCACTGTGCGAGGGGCGGGGTACACCCTGGATAGGTCACAAGTCCATCACAGGGCCTACATTTGTACCAGGACATGAAAACAGTCAGACTTCTTCATCTCAGTGACATCACTCTTGTTGGCCTGTGTTCAGTCACTTCAGCTGTTTCCGTCCGTAAACAAAAGCCTGTGAGATCCCTTCAGGGTCCACGTAATTTTTGATAATTTCTTTTGCATTGTAAGGCCTGGCCCCAGTTGGCCTGGTCTTATTCTGCCCTGACCCTGGTTGTGAGTGCCACCTCAATGTGGGCGGTGATTATCGTATCAAAAATGCGCAAATCTCATGTCTTTTTATGTGCAACACACCAATGAACGACATCAAGCTAGAAGGAAAAGTACTGAAAACTGTACTGGACCATCCAGCAGCATGGCACTTAAGGAAGAGATGGCAAGACAACAGAGGGTGAGCTAATGTAGCTTGTTCATGTTTGGTAGCTTGCTACTGTTGTGTAGTTGAACTTGTGTGAAAAAACATGTTATAGTTGTTGCAAATGATTAAAGTAAAATTATTTAATCTGTATGACATGACTACCAATGAACCAATTAATGGGTAACATTAGCTGACATCAAATCGGGCCAAGCAGCCCAGTCCGAACAGAAACACAGGTCTCAGGGTTTCCAGAAATCAAGCTGGAGTTGGGCCATAACAGCTAATGCAAATTAGCAGAACTGTGGCCTTACAATGCAAAAAATGCCTTTAGTTTCGTATGTTTTTCCCTAGTCTTCTTGACATTGTATTGAGTAACTTAAACTAAGTTATGATTGGATAGCTGCAGTCAGCCTTGCTCTCAAACACATACACATTTGCACAAAGAAAACATACGATTCATGTTGAGCTTCTTGGGTATGTAACAACATTAGACTAATAAGAAAGATCTATTTAAGGTGATGTTGGACTTTAGCAGAGGAAGAAGCAGTGATAATGCCAGATTGAGTGAGGGTGACAGAATTTCTGTGTAATGAATAGTCTACACTTTGTGACCTTCCCTCCTGTTGAGTCACGAAAAGGAACAGTTCGCTCTTGGCAGGAGAGAAACGGTATGAAACTCTTTTATACAGACCTTTGAGGATGGAGTTTGGACTGTAAAGTGATGAGTGATGCTGTTTTCAGACGTGTTTAGGTGTTTGAGGACAGCATGCCATGATTTTTCTGTTTGTGCCAGTATATGAACTAATACTGATTAGATTTGAGTCTCTCATTCAGCCACTGCGCTGCCCAGCAAGAAGCCATCTGCCGTCCCATATGTTCACCAAGCAACTGAACCATGACCTGCATAGAACCCGCCTCCAATCTTTGCCTGTGTGTGTTTATTGTTTGTTTACAGGATTATACAGAGAGAAGTTGTTCTTAAGGACCTATCAACAAAAGGAGTGTCAAAATAATGAAAAACCACAAGAAATAAAATGTTCGACATGAATAAAATGATCTGTGGAAACTATCACACTAAACGCACAAAAAGCAAGTCATAAATTGCTAAAAGCCCAACAATCACGCACGAACTGAAACAAGTGGGAAAAATAAATGCATTTTTGAGAGAAAGAACAGAAACTTGTCAGTCTGACTGACAGAATAAGATGATCTGGTTGTTGATGGGTGAAGCTGACAAAGAGGAAAGTTACCTGGAGACAGGCCAGCACCCAGTCACAGGGCAAGACATGAGGAACTTTGCCTAATCTACAAACTGGAGGCTCGTCTGTCTGGAACACAAAGGAGCCAGTGTACAGTAGGTGCACAACATCATGTACAACACCTGGAACTACAGCTGGAGGTCTCAGGTCACTCAGACAAGAAAGAACGCTTCCTAGTGCATTCACACCAGAGGAGGCAGTAAGCAGAAATCTTGAACTTGTGGAATTAAAATAATAAAAAATAAATAAATAAAAGTTCAGTGACACAAAACACGGAAACGCGTAGCTTCATAACACACAACACCCATGGGGAAAAAAATCGATCTTGTGACTTATGAATCGATCTTCCCAAATTTGAACGAGAATCGATCCATATCGATTAAATCTATTTTTTTAACCCGGCCCTATTAAAAGCTACAAATAGAAAGAATATCAAGGGGGTGAATACTTTTGGAAGCCTATTTATTTCAGTAATGATTGCAAAACATTTATGTTGTTTATGTGATTATTTATTAGAAAGTTGATGGTTTTTCATAACCAACACTGGATAAAAATGTTTCACACTAAAAACATTTTTAAAGGAGGGTTATTATTCAAAACTGACTTTTTTGAGCTTTATATCATGTTATAATGTCCCTCATTAAAAACATACCCAGAGTGTTGTTTTGACTCATTCATGCATGTTGGAGAAATCCTTAAATTTCCTGTGGTAGCCTTGTGGAGATGCCTAAACACTTGCTGGTACAAAGCTCAGCCCATTCACCCAAACTGGAGCTCAGTCCCCAGCCAGGCTCCCGCCCCATAAAGCACCCCTCCCCGTGAAGCTCTAACAGACTAACAAAACGTATCTTGAAAAAAATGGCGGCTGTTGATTTCACCGTAAAACATAGCTTCATAATGATCTTCAGTTACAGTTTCCTCACAAAAGTATCTTAACATTGATGTATGAGAGGATTACTGGGAGATGTTTTACCAAGCTGAAGAGTCTTGTCTCTCTCAAGTTCTTCAAAAATATTCTTTCGGGGTCCAGCATAGGATCATTAGCTTCAACTGTATCCCAAGTTGACATTTTCCAAAACTGGTATATAAAGTTGCTTCTTTTTTTTTTTTAACAAAATACAACACAAAAAGTTGTAAATGGCACGAAGCATTGTTGTGAAGATGTGCTGAAGTGGGAGTGTCAGAAACCGTAGGAGGTTCTTAAAGAGACAGAGGCCAATTTAAAGGCTATGATGCAAAGTCTTACCTATTTTTGATATAGCGTTTTCATAACAACTGAAGGTAACAGGCACTTGATTGTGGTACAGAATTGAAATATGTGCCTGAAAAATACATAATACCTCCCTTTAACTTTTGACATGCTGTAAAAATAAAAGTCAACTCGTGCACAATTTGATCTTGTATCAGCTGCGAACACTGCACACATCTCGTCATCTCCAACACATTCCCAGTCATGTCAGAACAAACCCACACAGAGAAGATGTCGGAGAATGATTATGCCATTGTTTTAACTAACAACACAACTATAGTGCTAAAGTGTCCAAACAACTTGTGATTCTGTTACACAGGAAGAAAAAAAAATGTATAAGAATTCAGACTGAATGGGTTTGTAGAAAGTAACTCCTTCAACCTTTACTTGGTTACAAACATCATTTCATTCCTGTAACCTAATCTGATCAAAATCGTTCAGGGTTTTTCAGTTACATCCAGCTGACACAAACGGCTGGCTGTTCATGCTGAACAAACGTGAAGAACTTGTCACAACTGGCAGGCTGGAACAGGTTGGTTTAAAAGCTGCACTGCTGAGTAAGGCAGGAGGTGACATAAGCAGCAGAACGTAACACTGAGGAATGCATGAGATCAAACTACTGGAAGGGAATGTAAACATAAACACAATTTCCAGGAGTAGCTGTGGTTTTGATTAAAGATGAACTGAAATCTGTAGTGGTGGTGCAATAAGGTGATTGTACCTGAGAGCCTCCAGCGATGGGGATGATACAGGTCAGTAGGTTTCCAATCACAGTTTCCAAGGTGGTGGACAGGCCATCGACATGAATTGTGTAGATCAGACCCAAACAGTTCTATACAAACAGGTCAGAAACACAGAGGGTGAAGGTCAACACAGCTGCTGGAAACATTTATACTCTGTGCTTTTACATACATTACATATTTTAAACAAACATATGSAAACGCTTACATTAAGGCCAATATAATATTCTGACATCATGATCGCACCAAGCAAAAATACAATTTCACACTAACAAAACTAATATTTTAAAATGACAGAATTTATTTGTTGCATCTATTATTAATGTTGCTACCTAAATGTTATCACATATTGCCTGATAATGATTAAAATATGGTTCTATTAATAGAATAATACCAAGTAAAATATTTATGCTTAATTTAATTCTGATGCACAGAAATAAATAAGAGAACACGTCGTGTCAGGACACAGATTTGTAACCAGAAACATTATTTATAACATTTTTTTATTTATTTAGGATCATATTTTAATCCCAATAAATAGATAAATTTAAAACGATGCACAGAATATTTGACTCATTAAGAGCACAGGACAGCAACCATATGTTAACATGAGAAAAAAAAGAGCGGGTCTCACCCTAAATGCCTCAGTGTAGTCCAGTCGAGACACCAGAACCAGGCTCTTGGGGGCAAAGACTTTAGCTGGTTGGATGACAGCCGGATCTTCATCTGCCTCATCTGCCTCCCCGGCCTCATTCTTCTTCAGCTGAACACAGAAAACAAAAACAGCTGCAACTGTAAGCAATCTGAAATAAATATGTCAAATTAAATAGGAAAATAAACCTAAATAAACAACAAACTACACCTGTAAACACATTAAAAGCTTGTCTGTGACACCATCTGCTTTTCAGTGTTAAACCCTCAACAGTTTAATTAAAGACCCAGAGAGAGGAATGCAATAACGTCTGCCTCCTTTCATAAACTTCTGTAAGCTTTGTAATAAGGTGGGCAATCATTATATTCATTTAAAATGGTCTCCAAACAATATTATCGTTTATCACAGTAATTTCAGCAAAATTTGTTATTGTGACAAGCCTAATATGGCGGCCATCTTAATTAGGGTTGACAGCAGAAGTCCGTCCCCAACAAACATTATTGCTCCACCTTCGGCAGCAATCAATAAAAACGAATGATGGGTTTTTGCAGTTTTGGTAGGTGATYGGTTGTAGTTTTATGTAAGCCAGAATGGGATGTTAGGTAGAGCAGCTGACGTCCATCTCACCTGTGGGTTGTCCAAACTCTCCCAGAAAGTAAAGCAGGCACAGTAGTGACGCTCCGAGTTGATGTCAGTCAGAACTGCAACAAAGAAGGAGGCTGGCTGCCGCTCAGGAACCAGCTGCCAACCGCTGGGCTGACAGAACTGGAAGTGGAGGTGTGTCAGAGTTCGAGGCGAGGCGGGAACGTGGTTTGGAAATCGATGTTTAAAGAAAGAAAGGAGAAAAAAAGATGAGTGAAAATACAGAGTGCACATTTTAAAACCAAGTGTGTAACAGGACAGGTATTAATGTTGTGTTGGACTGTGTGGTAAAGACAAATTTATCAGCCATAGATAATCAGCACTGCTAGGGCAGGCAAACATGGAGGAAGATACAATCTAAACACTCTACACCGAACAAAGCATGGTTGTTTCCGAAAAACAAGGAGAAGCTTGAAAACCTGCATTTTTGATTCAAATCTGCTGTGATTGTAGATAGCTGCARGAGACGTGAGGTCAAAGTATGGCATGCAGTTATGTCACGTAATCAACACTTTCTAAACTAGTGTCAATTTGAATACRGCCTTATTCTACTGGCAACCATCTAGCCAAGAAGTTTGACGGTTTCACATTTTAATTTTATAAAGTCACATGTAAGGCCCTTCTTCAACAAACTCGAAGTAGCCCACGGACCACCAGTTAATAATTACAGTTGGAGAGTGTTTTTTCTGCTTTAGACACATTTTATTAGCAGAAATGTCTCTTTTGGTTGTAAAGGTTGCAGACCCCTGGTCTGTGGGTTCTGTTTTTGTTGTTTCTTGTTGCTCCTTTGATACTGACATACTTTTTAAAACACTTTAACACCTAGGGTCAAAAAGGCTCAAAATCTCTGCCTGGTATTTTTGGCTTTTTTCACATGTTAAAAGGCCAATAATTGATCTGTGAGTAAATAATTTTGCACCTTTTTCAATAACAACTAAAATTTTGTTTGTAAAAACAAAGCCCATCGCATAAGGTGTTGGTTGGGATTTTGCAAAGACTTYAGGGGGTAAGGGGGTTAAGGTTTCACTTTATACTTTTTAAACTCCTAGAGAATCAGATACAAACAGCTAAATGTAGCCATTAATATCTGACTTGGTATTTGTAATTTAGTCATTTTAGATGTTGAACAAGAGAAAATCTAAACATTATTATATTTCCCAGCCATACAAGTGCATAATTTGAATTTGACAGATGTTTTCTGAAACAACCAGAGAGTGGTAACCAGAATACTGCATTGAACACAGTAAATTTCATTAAAAACAACTGAAACCTGCATCAAAAAAGGTCAGTTACACTAATAAAAATAATACACATTTACTGTAGATCTGCTCTTTATTAGATCTTTGTAGTTTATTCACTGTGTTCACCTGTAAAACCTGTAACCCTGACAGCCACCAGTTTCTTCTTCAGACCACTGAGGTACTCAGGAACAGGACTTACCAGTTCTACGCCTTGTGGGAACGGGCTGTCCTCCCAGTCTTTCTCAGGAAACCGTTGAAGAATGCGACCTTGACCCTCACCCTCCACTGCAGGGGGACAGAAAGGGGGACAGAGCAGAGGTCAGACTGTGTTATCTGAACTGTTTGCTGTCTTGTTTGTTGCTACAAATAAACTACTTTCAAACCAACAGTTTATAAACCAGCTGAGCTCTTCACTTCTTGTATATTGACATATAATTAAGTGCTTAAACAAATAATCCTGCGAAAAGAACATGAATGTTCTGTTGCATTATTGAAGCCCAGCTTTTATAATACCACGCATCCTCTATTAGCTAAACTCTGAATGAATGTTAGAAGTGATAACTGATTTCATATCCAAAACACTGCTGCTGCCTCAAACTTTTTAAAACGGTTTAGTGGAAACCCCACAGACAGCACTTACATTTCACCACAAAATGTGCAATAATTCACAAAACCCTTTAACTCGCATAGCTCAACATCCCAGCCAAGTAATGACTGCATTCAGGATGACATTTGTTGTTTATTTCTAAACATGTTTCTTGGGTTGAGTTTGCAGAAAAATCATCAACTCTGGGATTCACATCACAAATGAAATCAAACTGCACGCACTGAGATTACACATTTGAACTAAATGAACATGTTTTCTAAGGTTTGAAGTTTTGAATAAAAGGAAATAAAAAAGGGAACATTAAACTTTTTATGGTTGATACTTTAAATAGTTATGAGTCAAACAGGCATTCCAAGCTCTCAATGTCATTTTAAAAATATCCATAAATTTGTTCAAAACCAAGGTTTTTATTCAAAGTTAGAGAGGTGTGTTCAAGGTAATATTGTAATAATTATTGTGCTGATTACAGGTAATACAATCAAACTACATCCACATACAG